CAAGTGTGTGTGTGTGTGACCCTGGACCACAAAACCAGTCATAAGGGTCAATTTTTTGAAAATCAGATTTATACATCATCTGAAAGATGAATAAATGAGCTTTCCATTGATGTATGGTTTGTTAGGATAGGACAATTTTTGGCCGGTATACAACTATTTGAAAATCTGGAATCTGAGGGTGCAAAAGCTCCCCAGTCAATGGGGTAGTACCCTTTCAAAGGGGTATCTTTAAGGTACAATACTTACAATATTGGCACACACCTCTTAATTAATGAATTTAGGTGTTTCAATCAAACTCATTGCCACAGGTGTATAAAATCAAGCACCTAGCCATACAGCCTGCATTTTCAAACATAAATAAATACATAAATACATACATACATACATACATAAGGTCATTCTGAAGCACTCTGTGAACTCAAGTGTAGTACTGTGATAGGATGTCAAGTCAAGTCAAGTCACCTTTATTTATATAGCGCTTTTAACAATACAGATTGTGTCAAAGCAACTGTACAGCATTAATTAGGAAAATAGTGTGTCAATAATGCAAAATGACAATAGTAAACACTCAATTTTCAGTTAAAGGCAGTTCATCATTGAATTCAGTGATGTCATCATCCAGCTCAGTTCAGTTTAAATAGTATCTGTGCAATCAAGTCGACGATATCGCTGGAAATTAAGTGTCCCCAACTAAGCAAGCCAGAGGCGACAGTGCCAAGGAACCAAAACTCCATCGGTGACAGAATGGAGGAGAAACGAGGCTCAGTCGGGGAGCCAGTTCTCCTCTGGCCATACGAAACCAGCATGTCATCATGGATGACAGCATGTCAGGATGTCATCTTTGCAATAAGTCAGATCATGAAATTTGATCCCTGCTGGATATTCCTCGGTCAACTGGTAGTGGTAGTTGGAGGAGTTTAGGAACAACATCAACTCAGCCGTGAAGCAGAAGACCACGTAAAGTCAGAGAGTGGGGTCATTTTGTACTTTTGTCTATATAGTATATATACGCAACTTGGTAAATAGGGTACCTTTTGGCCCAAGTGACAGCTTTTGTACCTTTTTCCTGAGAGTGTAATATATATCAATCTATAAAATATATAAATATTAAAGTAAAAAAATAACTTTGCATACTGTCATTGTTGGATAAGATGGTAAGTACAGTATTAACCTTCATCAGTTCTACACCTACCAGTCTTTTATTGTATCATGTATTTACTATGCATTTCTTGGGGTTGTGTTTATGATTATGTTGCTATGCATAAGAGTTCTTCTTCCAAGCATTCCCGCTTAGGGTGCCATACATCTCGTAATTTTCTTCAGATTCAAATACCAAGGCTTATGGAACATCCTGGGTTGAGAACTGCAGCTAATGGGGTTTGCATACATGAATATGTATATTATGCAGTGTTTGCTACATTCTGCTCTGGCACTCTTTACAAATCATTTTAATGTATTCCCCTATTTAAACACACACATACACATACACAAAACACTCAGATCTCAGATTCACCCCCAAAAATGATTGTAAACTTCCTTTGATTAAGTATTTTTCACTGAACAAGAATATTTTTTATGCCAATGTGTTGCTGCACTTATTTCATCATGTTGTGCTAATGAGAAACCAGGGCTGCTACTGCAGAAATTATTTTTTTTCTCTCTTCTCAAAAGTATGTGGTGTCTACAACAAGTTCTTATTATTGCAGAATACTAGCCTCTTGTTCACTGTCTGTGCTCTACCTCGGGATTTAGATCTGCTCCACTTTGTTTCATATATACAGTGGTTGATAAATCCTCTCTGCCTGTATTTGCCAAGGTCGCACATACTCTGAGCTTTTCAAAGCAGACTTTCAGGGAAATATTCAGTGCAGCGTGACATGTTTAAAAACGTTTCTGAAAAAACGGATCTCTGAAGCTCTTCTGTGGTTAAACGGTCAACAGTTCGACTCTATTCAGTCTGAAACTATTACGTTCCACATAGAACTGCTGTTTTTTCCACTTCCGTTAAAGGAATCTTTTAAGTTATATTTTTCACATTAACAAGATATACTGTCTGTGTTCTATGCTCCCAGAAATATTCCAGATCTAATTTCCATCTCAAAAGAATTCACACTGGCTGAGAATGATGCCTAATTTAAAACTCACTTAAAATGGAGGTGTACACAAATGTTGCAGCCATTGAAACCACATTTGCCAATCGCACAGACAGTGATTTGTTCTGTGAGGTAATTTTCTTCCTTGTGGGTAGACGTTAGCAGATACGACCACTGAGGGTAGGAAATCAATGGCTCATAATGGTTTTGTGCATTGATTGCCACTGGCTGACTAAAACCAAGAGCCCAAAGCACTCTCAGATTAATGCAATAAAGTGAGCAAGGTAATACAAGAGAATGGCACAGAATGCCAGTGGAGCAGTAGAATGTGATGGAATGTTCTCACAGAGGCGGCGTGCTCTTCCTCTGACTCAAGGCCAATGCTTTGCAGAGTGAGAATGACTTATTGCTGTCCAGCTCAGTGCCAAGTAAATTCAGAGACAAAATGCTGATTTAGGACCAGGCTGTGCTGCACAGATCTTCAAGACTTATATCTTATACTGCTATATTACACTCATAAATATGTAGCACTATGTAAAGGATGATGCACAATGTGTTCGTTTATTTGGGCCTTGTATCATCCTAAAGGGCTTCATTATGTAAAAATGACTTGATTGTACATTTCCCGCTTATTACATGGATACCAAATGAGTAAATAAATGAACATGAATTATTGAGTTGAAATTATATTAGTATGTGAGAAGAAAAAGACTGCAGAGTGTTATGAGAGAAACTAGCAGAATGTAAGAGATTGGTTGCCAGGGACAACAGTATACAGTGTTGTGGATTAACTACAAAGTGCTGCATTTGACCAATCAGATTCAAGCATTCCAGCCAAAGGTGTAATAAACATATATAATTAAGTGTAGCTTGTAATCACAATTTCAAGGGAAAAAAGCCGTCATCAAGAGATTTTATGAATAAGTCAATTTCTACCAAAGACAAGCAGAATGAGAATGAGATGAAATTCACTGAAAACGTCTCTAGGTTACACATGTAACCATGCTTCCTGAAGGGAACGAGATGCTGCGTAGGAAACGCTTTGGGAACGCCTCTCTGTTAACATGCTCTGAAGCATGTGTGAAATCAGTCCAATAGAATGGCGAGACGTCATAGACGAGATGACTTAGTGACCCGGAAGCTTAAAAGCGCATCAGGTGAAATTGCAGAGCAATCAGGGGAAATGCGTAAAGAGGCCACCTCGGCCATATCTGTACCACTGCAAGCAGCCCGAGGGGGGATGGATATGTGAGGGAGAACCAGAGTGGACAGTGTGTCATGTCTTGAGAGGCGAACAGATCCATCTCCGCCTGGTCGAACATCCTCCAGATCTGCTCCACCAACTTGGACTCAGCCCCTGCCTCGACAAGATGTCTTTTCCCTGATTGAGGTGGCCAGGGATATAAAATGCTCTCAAGGAGAGTAGTTTTCCCTGGGCCCACAGAAGGACCTGGCATGTGCATTTAACCCATCCAAGTGCACACACACAGTAGTGAACACACACACAACGTGAACACACACCTGGAGCAGTGGGCAGCCATATTGCTGCGGCGCCCGGGGAACAGTTGGGGATTTGGTGCCTTGCTCAATGGTTTCACCTCAGTCGTCGTATTGAGGGTGGAAGAGAGCACTGGTTATTCACTACAATCCCACCTACAATCCCTGCTGGACCTGAGACTCGAACCCGCAACCTTCGGGTTACAAGTTCGACCATTAGGCCACGACTGCCCCCACGACTTGTCTGTACGGACAAGCACGTGATAGCCTCTCAGGTCTGGGTGAAAGTGTTTCAGTGCAGGATACATGGCCAGCATCTTCAGGCAGTTGATGTGCCAGAAAAGATGTCGGTCTTGGTATGCTTCGCCCCCGAAAGCAAACCTCAGGAACTTCCTGTTTTGAGAAAGGATGGAAACATGGAAGTATGCGTCCTTCAGATCTATTGTGACAAACCAGTCCTCAGACCTGATTTGAGCCATTTGAGTCTTTTGATGGAATGGTTCAGCTGACACAGATCTAAACTAGAATACAACCCCTCATCCTTTAGGAATGATTAAGTTCCATGCTGCCAGATAGTCTACTTAGGGAATCAGTCTCTCAAGACTGGCCTCTAGTGTACTTTGAGTAGTCGATTCGGTGCCCTGAAGCGGATGACCATCAGGGAACCACCAAACTGGCTGCTCTAATAAGCTCCTTGGAGGATGCAAGCCTCCCAGTGTCACTACGTTTCCGGCGGACACTGAAAACTGCACTTGCTGGAGACCGCTGTGCCCTTAAACACCAGTGGTGGCAAGGTTAACAGACTGATCTCCCGAGGGCACTGAGAAGAGATGGGCACCGTATGATGAAGTGTACACCGCTCTTCCCCAGATGGGCCTGACCTCAGAAGTCCCGCACCATAGGCATCATCTTGGCCGAAGTCCTCTTAGCCAGAATGACGGTCCTCAGATCCGTCTTCTGCTTCAAAGACTTCGACCAGGAGTGCCACTCTGACTCCAAATCTTTTTGCGGGGGAGCTCGAGAGGCGATGCTCCATTTCTGAGCCCTGCGGTATGAGGAGCTGGTAGACGACTGGAGCGGTGATGGAGGAACTTTCTGAGGGTCAAGAAAGAGACAAGCCCATCTCCAACCCCTCCACCAGATCCATTAGTGATCCCCATGACCGCAGCCACCATCTTGCCTCGGCAGATGCAGGACCTGAGCCGCGAGGAGGGTGAGAATGTGCTCTGCTCCCAGACAAGCAAAGCATAGATCACATGTATCCCCACCCGTAATGAAGCACGGGCAGGGAGGGACACACAATCTAAAGCGCTGCTTGTCAGACTTTTTACTCTCACTTGCCATAATAGAGAATTGTACACTGGCACAACACACACACATATTTCTCAGACAAACGGAGACACGAAGCGCTTACTGAAGAAGCAGAAGCTAATGCTGTTTACACCAGATACTCCTTTAAGCTTCCTGGTCGCTACATCATCCCTCCTAGGATGTCTCACCATTCTATTGGACTGATTTCACAAGTGCTTCAGAGCATGGTCACGCAGAGCCGTTCTCAAAGCGTTTCTGACGCAACTCGAATTCCCTGAAGGGGAAATTAAGTTTCTTATTACAGGCGCAGCATTCTTTGAGAAGAATGCTTAATGATCTTATGCCTTGCCAGTCTGTTTGAATCATTTCTTTTCAATCTGATGCCCCACAGTTTTCAGAACGATGTATATCTCATATGGATTGGCGTTAGGATGATGTGGACATCAAAAGGTGGTTTCCAGAGAGAAAGAGACATCACATGAGAAATAGTACAGTTAATGACTAATTAGTGCAACATCTATTAACATAGTCAAATCCGACTTAAACTTTTGTTATAAGGTCAAGTCAGACCTTACAACAAATAAATTACAGCTCAAATAGCCATTTAAAATGCTGTGCTGTTGCTATCCACCATTTTGTCCATTTAAAGCTTACTGAACTGTTGGATACATACTGTACAAACCTTCTTTTCTTGTTAATTCCTTTCAGTATAGTAAAAAGGTGTTGTTATGACACGTTATTCGGATACTAGGTATACAAAGTGGCTAGTTAATAGAGTTTTGTTTGTTCCGTACCTGAAATCAGCCAGTAATCTCGAAAAATGCAAGCATTGACTTGTTCTTTGTGACAGTGACCTTCATTCAAGTTAAACTTCCTTGATCATGTTTCCTTTCCAAACCGATTCACAACATCTTCTTTTTTTTTTGACGGACATAGATAGAGTATCTATCCCCTGTCGTAAGGTTACATGGAAAGCAATGACATGGTAAAATAGCATAATTGACCCCGCCCTCAAACACTGTAGCTTATTTGTGTAGTTAACATCATGTCGAGAAGACACTGTGTCCTACAATGTGAAAGTAAATTTATTTTATTTTCACTTCCGAATGATGAGGCGGCAAAGAATCAGTGGTGGACATTACATTTTTCAACAATACCGGAGCCCCCATTAAGGCACAATGGGGTTTAGGAGTCCTTGGATGTTATTTTCTAAAACAGTACAAAGGCAACAAAAACACTAAAACATTGTCCAAAGCACCTAGTTTTTGAACAAAACGTTTTGGTTTTGCATGAGTGAGTTGGAATGAATTAGTTGTGCCATGGTGCACAAAGTTGGCTCATGTTTCAACAGCTCAAATCACAACAGAGATTAATTTGTGAAATATGCCTGTTGTTGTTAGACAATTCTGAAATAAATGAAAAAATTATAATGAGAAAAGTAATTAAAATGCAGCATTGCAGGATTAATTTAAAATGATGAGTGTAATGAAAGTTTACTTTAGCATTATTGAACAATGCTTTGGCAGAAAAAAAGAATCAAACATGAATCTTCCACTTGAGAAAGCTTAAATGAACATTCCTCACCCATGAAATAGGCGACTATCTTGCACATCGCAGCGCCAAAGATGAAGTCCTCCAGCAGGCTGGGGATGAGATTAAAGGGCATGGAGAAGATGGCCATCATGAGATCACTAATAGCCAGCGAGAGCAGGAAGGAGTTAGTGACGGTCCGCATTCTCTTGTTTACTATTAGGACCACAATGATCAGCAGGTTCCCAAAAACACTCAGGAGAAAGACAAGTGAGTAAAGGATAATCCTCACAGAGTCCATTTCTGAGGAGAGAGAAAAAGCAATTTTGGTCAAAGGAATCAATACATTCTCAAACAACACCCTTTTTATTTATATTTTTTAATTTCCAAAGGGAAATGTGTAAAAGTCAAGTCAAGGCAAGTTTATTTGTACAGCGCTTTTCACGATACAAATCATTGCAAAGCAACTTTACAGCAAATTAAGTTTCTACAATATTTAGTGGTAGCTTATCAGTGGTGACTGTCAATTAATGTACAATTAAAACATCCTTTAAATTTCCATATATGTTACTGCATAAATTGATGAGCCAAGGTGTATGTGGTTTATTATTATTATTAATAATTTATTATTAATATATTATTAATTAAGTCTTCCAGGAGGGAGGCAATCCATCACAACCACATGGACTTTGTATGTGTTTTCACCGTTCCCGCCTTTTGTTAGTGGTTGTCATGGTTATTGATTTTTATTATGTTCAGGTGTGTCTTGTTATCCTTGTTTGGTCTGTGTATTTAGGTTCCTGTCTGTTCAGTTTGAGGTTGTCGGGTCTCAGTGTTATGTGTGTCGCCAGCCTTCCCTTGTTTGGATTTACCTATCTGTGGATTTATTAAAGACTGCTTATCTTCATCTCGTCTTCGTGTGTTTATCAACACAGTTCCATGACGACAGCTGCAATTGCAGCTATTTAATGCAGTGTAAATGCATTTATACCACCTCTAAGCAGCAGTACCTTTGCAGTGTAAACAGGGCCGGATTTACGCATAGGCATTCTAGGCATGTGCATGCCTATGCTTGCTCATCCAGGGGGGGCCCAAACACAATGAAGAGATATATAATATTTGGAATGGTCTTTCTCAGTTCTCAAACAAATTAAGAACACGCAAACGCTTATTGTGATAGAAAACACTGTAACGGTTTCCACTGATTAAGAAATATTTTGTTTGCTTGGGTAGTAATATTAGGCCTATTATTTTAATAGGGAAGGGGGGCCCAAAAATTTGTTTTGCCTATGTCTGAAATAGGTAAAACTCTTATACTGACATTTGTGGTTTTAAAATTATTATATTAAATGATCCACATTAAAGTAAACAAGCTATGCATTAGCACTCCCATTTATCCCAATGCCTCTTCATCGCTTAGCGCAGGAAAAACTTTGGGAGTATGCAATTTGAAATCTGTAAGGTTTGCTCATGTCATGAGTGTTCAATTATGCTGCCAATCACATGAAATTGCAAATGACATGGCATTATAGCAATGCTAATGGCACTACATGCAACTGCCGTGTCCTCTATAAGCGGCTTGTTTTTTCATAAAGTTGTTTATAAGTTTGGGAGTCATGGGTTGCAGTTTTTTGTGGGCTTATTTCCGGAAGCCAGTCATGTATTTGGGCTTGCTAGTGCCTACTAATAGCAGCTGTCAAATATCCCCACCTACTCTATGATGTCATTATCAATAGCCATTCCTCATTCCTGCCTTCCTCAGCTCCTCCCCTCTCCTAAATGCATGCTGTTTCCCTTTCCATAAGTGCCTGCATGTGTTTGCACATAGAGAGATGTATTTACTGATTATTATTTTAATGGGGTCATTTGTTTAGGTTTATTTTGGTGAGACAATTTGCTTATTTTAGGGTTTTTTGCGGTTCATGCGCGTGCGCATTCCTCAAAAGAGGGCTTACAATGACTTACAAAGCCAGACTAACACTCCCCTTGTCAGTCTGATTCACAACCTTGCACAAATGGATAGATTTAAAACAAAATTATTTTTTAGAAATAGCCCATATATCATTCTCATGCCCATAAATCATTCTTGAAGTTGTGGTTTTGAATGCCTATTAACTAGTGACCTATCTAATTATCCCCCCAAAAAAATTCATGTCCTAATGAAGTAAACACTACATTTGCATGTTCAGAAAGTATAATGATAATGATGTGAGCTGAAAAAAAATGCAAAGAGCATCCTTGGGGTTTAATTACACTAAACATTACCTCTGACATAGTTCTTTAAATACAAAACGAAAATATTAACTTTATCACTGTTATTATAATATAAAACTCCGTGATTATAATAAGGGGAGACACTGCAGGCAAAAGCACAGTTTTTTCATGCACCTGTCAATTTTGAGATTTTGGGCTTTTTGGCAAAAAAAATAAACAAGAATTTTGAAACTGACTTCATCCAGTGTTCAGATTTTTGTACTGGAAATGTATGCAAATTAGCGCATATTTCATTAAATAATGCATCATTTGCATATTTAAACATAACATTTTAGAAAACTTGTAATACAAAATTGTTTTGCAATTATCAATGTAATCAATCAACTGGGTAAGTAAGGTGATAATTAGTAGTTTTTTTTTTTTTACCTTATTCACCTGCAGTGTCTCACCTTAACTATACTGTTTTACTATTTAAAAGAAAAATAACCACTCATCTTTAATGAGCATTTTAAATAAACGCACAATATACTGAAAAACAAGCTGCTGAAGTTTATCTTTAATGCGTAACCTATAAGTGAGGTAGTGGTTGCTGGGGCACCATTGCTTTGAGAATGGTTGATTTCATAATTAATGTTAAGGCACGCTGGTATAGCTAAAGTATATAAATAATGAATAATTTGTACTGGGGAAAAAACTGTTTTGTACCATCAGCAAAGGTTGAGCGTATCATGTGTTTCCTGCCATTTATCTCATGCTGTATTATAGCCTCCCGTCAAAATGACTAGGAAAAAAAGCAACAACAACATATGCAACAGCAAAACAAGACAATATAACGTTGATATGGATTAGTTTGCCCTTACCTTTTGGTCGTGTGGGTTTGAATTTCTGAATTATTGACGCATTGCTACAGGTGGCGTTAACTTCCAACGCAGATGTGTTAAAGCTGGAATTGTCTGGGGTTCTTGAACATTCCCAAAACGGGATCTGATTTTCGTTCATTTTCTGTAAATCCATTGACCCACGAGAACTGGTAGGAGTATAGGTTTCTAAATCAATTTAAAACCACTTATTCACGATATTAAACTTAATAGTATATTTTAAAAAGGTTATATATTAATACGCGCCAAAATATTTTGCGTACCCATTGCGCGCGCGTCTGTGAGAGAATGACTGTGCGCGTGAAACTGTAGTCACTGGAAAGTGCGCTGCAGCTCTGATGAGCGAGCAGCGTGGGTAGACATTTCTTTAAGAGTTAGCACAGAGGGTGGACAAGAGTAACATACTCACTATGAGTTAACAGCAGTTGGCAGTGCCCTTCAAACTAGCGGCTCTTGGTTAATGGAATGTAAGTCCTGCGTCTCCCTCCAGTGGATGTCCGGTGCTATTGCTTGTTTATCACCAAAAAGAGTGAGAAGGTACAGGAAAGACCGAAAGATAAAACAAAAGTTGCTTCAGGCATACCAGTAAGAGGTTCAGAACTCTTAACCGCAGAGCTTTCATTAGATTAACTTTTCTTACTCACACTCATTTTCCAGTGTGTGTGTGTGAGAGAGAGAGAGAGAGAGCTTGGGGGAAAAAATAGCTGAAAACAGCAAAATCTCCTTTTGGGGATGTTCTTAAAAAGAAAAGTAGTTCACAGCCTGAGAATGTTGAAGTGGATCTAGTAAATCATTGTGCAGGTTTGGGTTAACATATAATTTGCTTTATTTAAAAAAAAGTCTATAGTAGTCCTTTTCAGACAGGCAAACATATGTGCATACAGTATCAAAAAGGGAAAAGGTTGTTTTATTTATTTTGCAAATAAATGTAACAAAAAAATATATACTAGCAAAGCTAATTACATTTTGGCTACATTTAATAATGGGTTAAATGAAAATATAAAACTATGAAAAATGTCAAATGTAGTAGAATTTTTCTCAGAATGCAGTGTGCCCTTTTTAAAACATGGCTGATGTGATGTGATGCTTTAGTGGTTGTTCTTGACCGGGTTTGTTAAATGTTGTCAGATAGTCTCATACTACAGTGTCTATGTAACAGCCCTGCCAGGTTGGATGTTGAACCCCCTGCCATTTCCGTCTGCATTCTCTGTCCTTGAAGGGAGTATCCATTTGACTCAACTTGATCTGATAAGCATACATGGGAAAGACATCAAAAATACAATTATCAACCAAGTGCAACATATCATTTAGTCCACATTCAACATTCAAGTCAATCCATAAGTAACTAAATATTTGTTGGCAAATGATACTGTCAAAAAAAATTTAATCACTGTATGTTATTATTTAAATAATATAATATAATATATAATGACACAGCATTGCTAACCAATATTATAATGAGAGGCCATGATTACTACAGTAACTGGCATATTTAAAAATTGATATTAGCCACAGTCTTATATCTGCATTATTTTTCATGAGGCATCAATCAAATGGATAACTTTTCTAATACTCTGTAATACATTGTATTAAATTATAGAAATATACTCTATTGAATGACCCTTTTTCTAAATGTAAATATAATTATTTACCCGCAGAATGAAAACGATGCAAGTCGTTAACAGCCCATATATGGCCATGGCTCCAAGCACCACCCAAAAAACCAGGTGGTTGACATCTTGACAGACAGAATGCTGTTTAACTGGTCTCTCTGTTCAAACACATGTTGGGTTTCCATGTTTTAGGGGGGCATTTCATAGATGTAATGGTTATTATATGGTACAATACCATACCTACCGCTCACACAAAACTTTCTGCATTTTTAGATTTAAAAAAAAATAATTTATTCTGTATGATTCAAAAGCTTGTTTCCTCAGGGGGACCAAAAACATGTTCCCACAAGGACAAGGATTTTGAATATTGTCATCTTTGTGGGGATATTTTTGTCCCCATAACGTAGGGCATACCTGAACCACACACACACACGCATAGACATACACACATACATTGGGTTTCCGTGTTTTATAGGGACTTTCCATAGACATAATTATGTTTATACTGTACAAACTATATGTTCTATCCAATAACCCTGAACACAACCCTCACAGAAAACTTTCTGCATTTTTACATAAAAAAAAAAAAAAAACTTTCATACTAAATAATTTAGTAAGATTTATATTTAACTGTTTTTTTCTCATGGACACCAGAAAAATGTCACAAGATCCAAAATTTGGGGTTTTGCTATACTTGTGAGGAAATTTCGACATTTTGTCCCCACAAAGTAGGGAATACCGAAACCGCACACACACACACACCGAGAAAAGGAGTGACGCAAAATGTGACTTTTAACTGTACATTAACCAGAGCACAAATAATGAAGTTTGTATTACAAAACAATTGCTAATCATATTGCCAGTTGCTTTAATTCTCTTACGTAATGCTGTGGACAATGACAATGTCTGTTGTTCCGTAACAACCATAGTAAACATACCTTCAACAAACACAATGGTTTGTGGTTTGTGCTCCACTTGCTGAAATGGAGGAGGAAAGATTCTCTCGGCCTCGCAGGTGTACAGAGCTGTAGTATTTATTGTTACACCGTCCAGGATAAAACTGGTACTGTTATCCGCAACATTAACTGTGAAATCCATCCTCGGGCTGTTGTCATTTTTGCTGATGATTGTATTATTAACGCTGATAAAAAAGATCTCTTTTGAGCCTTTATATAATCTGAAGACCATTTCTGGTGCACTGAGTACGGGGCAGGGTACAGTAACACTGCTATTCAATGCCACATGATGAACTGGTGGTAGATTACCTGCGGTGTAGAGGAGACAAAACAACAATAACATCTTAGAACTGCTTAATACACAGTTTGTAAGCTTTAACTTTTAAAATCTAAAATCTGTGATTGGTACAATATATACTTATATTAAATTTTTTACTTCGTCTGTGGTTTTTGCAGAAGTGGTTATGCAACCCACAAATCACCAGTCACCCACGTTATTAACAAACGATGGCTTCTGTTCTTAAGATCACTTAAGCTACCATAGTATATGCACTTTTTTATTTTTTTATTATGGATTAGAACAGTAAATTATGTTTGTTGTCTTTTCAATTCCTAATGGTCAGAGTAACTTTATGTAAAAAAGGGAAATTTCCAATATACCAAACTCTTGAGAATAAAAATTAAAAAACAAGCTGAAAAAAGGTTAAATGCCCGAAAAACAAAACTGAAGAACAGTTTTGACTGGTTTCTTAATTTCACAAATATTAACCTTTGCCTGTAAGAGTGGAGAAATGTTGTCAGAGACAAAGTTTCTTAGAACAAATTGCTATGAACTTCACTTTGTAGAAAAAAAGGAAAGACTGAATCATCTTTTTGCAGAATGATTAACTCCCTCATCATTTCATTTTCTCATGTCAGAATGTCAGTGCCAAACATGTCAGCTTGTTGCAAAATGTAATATTTTTTGCAAAATGCCACTGTTCATGTACTTTATTGTATTTGCAGCCTCGCAAATTAGATGTTTGTGGTAAAGTTGGTTTTAAATGTGTCTGCCTGCACAATATTTCAGTTAACAAACCTCATTCAGTCGGTTAGACTGTATTTTGATTTTGATTTATACACTGCCACCAAGATGTAAAATTTCTTGAATTCTTTTGCCACTTGTATGCATTTACACATAAATATTTTGAGTTTTCTTATATCCTTAACACATTAGGTTACACAAACAAATGTAATTACCCACTGTAATTAATGTTTAAAGTAAATCACAAAAAAGAAGATCTTACCTTTGCACATGCTCTGTGTTTCAGATAGGCTGCTATGGAAGAGACAGAGACTTAAGAGGGTCACAGATGCCCTAAAAATCTCCATCTGTTGCATTCAAAGTCTTCACACAATAGAAATGCTGTTGAAAACGGCAGAGCCGCTACCTTTCGTTTTGCCACTGTTTTGCAAGTATGGCGTTCTTGTATGGCAAATTCAACCTTTGGTGTAACAGAAGAACACATCACGAGCCAAACAGGAAGTTTCCATTCTCTTCTTGCACCCTTTGTGGTTGATGTTATTTGCATGTTTCATATAGTGTGTCTGTTACAGATTCTCATGGCATCATACAGTAGCTGGTGTTTCCTCATTGAGGGGAGGTAGTAAAGGAGACCCCTGTAGGGGTTTTCTACCAAATGGTCTGTTTGAAGAGTTGACAAGGGCAGGGGGTTATGTAGGGTTAAATTGGGTTTGTACTTGAGAGTAACAGATGCAGAAAATGAAAGAGAGAGAGGAAGGCTGAAAAAGAAAGAGGACTCTTCAAAGTTAAAATGACAGAAACCCTTGATCGGAAAAGACCTGCATGCATTTGTTTAATAAAGTGCATTAAAGGCATTTTCTGGCAGTCACTGACTCCCTCAAACACATGTGATGGACAGGAAAATGCCTTTAAGCTGATTTATTGTAAGTCTTCATGTTTCCTGTTTTTAATCTAAAACTGGGTGCACGTCAGAGCCAGTGCTTTGTGATCTCTATGGCAACCAATTCACAGAACACTGAAACCATCACCAACCCACGATGCTGATGATGTTCTCTGTTCGTTCTTCTTTTTCCTTAATGGAAAGAAAGATTCTGATTAATCGAGTTTCTTCTTATATTATTCATGAGATGAAAACACATGCAAATAATGAGGTTTTGTGGTTGTCTTTATATTTAGACCTAAAACTGGAACTGGTTTCAGACCCCTACATGCCTAGCAGCACCCCCTTAAACATACTTCCTGCATGAACCACAAAACGTGACAACATGTTTACAGAGCCTCCCATTCATGAAAGTGTGTGTGTGTGTATATATATATATATATAAAACACACACCCCACAATCAGGCTTAAGCTTTACATTATTACCACCTTCCTAATATTGTGTTGGTCCCCCTTTTGCTGCCAAAACAGCCCTGCCCCATTGAGGCATGGACTCCACTAGACCCCTGAAGGTGTGCTGTGGTGTTTGGCACCAAGATGTTAGCAGCAGATTTTTTTAAGTCCTTTAAGTTGCGAGCTGGGGCCTCCATGGATCGCATTGGTTTGTTCAGCACATCCCACAGATGCTCGATTGGATTGAGATCTGGGAAATTTGGAGTCCAAGTCAACTCCTCAAACTTGTTGTTGTGCTCCTCAAACCATTCCTGAACCATTTTTGCTTTATGGCAGGGTGCATTATCCTGCAGAAATAGGCCACGGCCACCAGGGAATACCATTTCCATGAAAAGGTGTACATGGTCTGTAACAATGCTTACGTAGGTGGTACGTGTCAAAGAAACATCCACATGGATGGCAGGACCCAAGGTTTCCCGGCAGAACATTGCCCAAAGCATCACACTGCCTCCGCCGGCTTGCCTTCTTCCCATAGTGCATCCTGGTGCCATGTGTTCCCCAGGTAAGTGACGCACACGCACCCGGCCATCCACATGATATAAAAGAAAATGTGATTCATCAGACCTGGCCACCTTCTTCCATTGCTCCGTGGTCCAGTTCTGATGCTTACGTGCCCATTGTTGGTGCTTTCGACGGTGGACAGGGGTTAGCATGGGCACCCTGACTGGTCTGCGGCTATGCAGCCCCATTCGCAACAAACTGAGATGCACTGTGTATTCTGACACCTTTCCATCAGAACCAGCATTAACTTCTTGAGCAATTTGAGCTACAGTAGCTCGTCTGTTGGATTGACCCACACGGGCCAGCCTTCGCTCCACACGTGCATCAATGAGGCTTGGTCGCCCATGACCCTATCGCCGGTTCACCACTGTTCCTTCCTTGGACCACTTTTGATAGATATTGTCCACTGCAGACCTTGAACACTCCACAAGAGCTGCAGTTTTGGAGATGCTCTGACCCAGTCGTCTAGCCATCACAATTTGGCCCTTGTCAAACTCGCTCAAATCCTTACTCTTGCCCATTTTTCCTGCTTCTAACACATCAACAAGCAGTAGGCGAGCGAATAAGCATGTCCGAATCCTTAGTATTCATAAAAGAGTAGGCGAGAATTACCGGGGTGACGTACTAATTCTCGCGAGATTCGGACGTGCGTCTATTTAAAGTGCGTCCAAATATGCCTACTTACCTACTATATAGTAGGAGAAAAGAGTATGTGAAGAAAGTAGTATGTCCGAAACCTCAGTATTCATAAAAGAGTAGGCGAGAAATCCCAGGATGTCCTACTGCTTCAGTCCAGATTCTGAAGTGCTCATCGATGGATACTTTTCTATCCTAGGAGGCCACGCGAGAGGATACGTCATCATCGAACGTGAAGGAGAACAGCAACAAGGGTGTTTACAAATGTGAGTATTACAAATCAAATACACGGTTCCCTGTGTTAAAATCGCATTTGTTAAGCTACTGTAGAGTAAACTGTTCAATTGTTGAGGGTGTAAGATGCTAGACAGTATAGTATATTTGTGATTTTGCTGTAAAAACATGTTTTATTACTGTATAATAGAACAGGGGAGCTCCAGTAAGCACACGTACGTCACCAAAGTGAATTTACATAAACCATATACATCTTAAAGACGATTACTAAATGTTTATTTAATATCTGACAGGAAAATATTCTAAAAGAATTGCAGATGAGCACATCACAACATGAACAGACATCTGAGTGAGATGTCTGTGTGCCATTATGTAGAATTCACTGTTGTCAACACTGCTTTAGATGAATGTATGTAATGTTAATAAACAAATCTATATAAAGTAGCTAAACATACGTTATCTATTTTATTTGTCCATTAGTACTGTTGATCAATTGTGGAGCACTGTTAGATAAAAAGCGAGTTAACACAACATGTAAATGCAGTATTGAGCAGCTTTTGTGGTGGAGCAGGACCTGCAAGGCAAGGTGACGGCGGCATTTGTGGAAAAAAAGGGAAAACCTGAAACAAAAATATAAAGTAAGATCATTCTGTTACTTCTAATACAGAAATCAACTGACATTGTGCTGTTAAAATGACTGCTTTTGTATTGTGTTTGTGCATTTTTGAAGGATCTGAAATGTCCGCAGACTGGTGTGTGCAGTGAGGATGGAGGAGTCCATAGCAGCATCCTGGAAATTATCCAGTGCCATGGATGAGTCGCTCCATCACTCCACCTGCCACTGTCTCATCTGGACCAGATG